AGGGTGAGGGAGAAGGGAAGAGAAAGGGGGAATACTGGGGAATAATATTTGCTGAATTATATTGTTATATTATGTGCATGTACAAATATGTAACAATAAATCCTTACTTTATATACAACTATAATGCACCAATAAAAATAAGGAAAAAAGACACTGTCTGGAGAATAAAATACAAGCTACAGACTGGGAAAAAAGTATTTTCATGTCATATATACAATAAAGATCTTGTATCAAGAATATATATGTATGTGACTATATATACACAATAAGAAATAAATTAATTTTAAAAGGTGGACAATAGGTTTTAACAGAAATTTCACCAAAGAAGACGTGGATGACAAATAATCACATGAAAAGATGTTCAAAATTATTAACCTTTATAGAAATGCAAATTAAAACCATAATTTGCATTACATATTTGAAAAATAGTGACAATACCAAGTGCTGGAAGGATCTCTCATGCTTTACTTCTGGGACTGCAAAATGGTGTAGTCATTTTGGAAAACAATGTGACAGTGTTTTCAAAAGTTAAGCATATAACTACAATAAGATCCAGTCTTTCTACTCTTAGATATTTACCCTAGGTAAATCAAACGTATGTTCTCACAAAAACATTTACAGAAATGTTTATAGCAGATCTATTTACTATAAGCTCCCCAACCAAGAAGCACCCAAGTGTCCTTTATGGGGAATGGATAAATAAACTGTGATATGTTCTCACAATTGGGTACTGTTCAACAATAAAAGGAAAAAACTAGTGATACATGCAACGAGGATAAATTTTGAAGACATTATGCTGAGTGAAAGAAGCCAATCTGAAAAGATTATGTATGATTCAATTTATGTTACATTCTGAAAAAGGCAAAGCTGTAAGGGAGAGAAAAATCATCAGTATACAAGGGGTTAGAGGAGAGGGTGTGATTACTTATGGATTTAAAGGCAGGTTTTCTGGGGCTGAGGTTGTGGCTCAGTGGTAGAGCACTTGCCTAGCAGGCATGAGGCACTGGGTTCGATTCTCAGCACCATGTACAAATAAATAAAATAAAGATCCATCAGCAACTAAAAAAAAATAATAATAAAGGCAGGTTTTCTGGTGTGATGGAACTTGTTTCTATTTATATATAAGGAAATTGACTTGACTTGCTTAAGGTTATTCAACCAATAAGCAATAGGTTCTGAACTAGACATGATTTTTTCCATGTTGTTATATAAGAAATAAACCTTCAAAACCTAATCCAAATTGTGTATTAGTAGGCATTTGGCAACAAGTAACTAAACCCCATTTCGGAGTGATTTCAAGAACAAGGACATTAATTATTTCACATAACAAGGTGTTAAGTGGTAGTGAAGGTAATTATGTTGGTTGATTTTAAAATTTAATAATGTCATAAATGACTGAATTTTTTCCTTTTTCCATTCTGCCAATCACAATTTCATTCTAAGGCTACTCCCTCTCATGTCCATAGGATGGACACTGGGCTCAGACAAGGATACAAGGCTTTTTGTTCATATCTGTTGAGAGCCACAGCCGAAGGGGCCCCAGCAAACTTCCAGCTGCCAGCAAACTTCCAGCTGCCAGCTGATGATTGGCTCACAGTGCCCCAGCAAACTTCTAGCTGCCAACTGATTGGCTCCTCTGCGGTGATGCTCATTGGGCTGTTTCCCCGCCCTTTCAGACCAGGGAGCTGCTCATTGGGGGACTTTTTTTGGCTCTGCCCAGGCGACCCAGCCAATCGGCCTCAAGAGCAGGAGGATTGGGGGAGGTTGAGAGGCTTGTGGGAAGCCAGTGGTGGCAGTTGGGCTCTGAGGGTTTTCCTGAGGAGCTGTGTGGTGCGGTGTGTGTGTTCTAAAAATAAAGTTTGTTTCTTTTGACAAGTGGCTCCTGAATTGTGCCCAGCCAGACTGCGGCACATATCCAGTAGAAAATACAACATCTGCAACAATTTCACATAACTTGGAAGACAACTAAAGGGTGTATTGCATGCAAATGCTGTGGTTTCTTTAGGAGTCTAGACAATTGGCTATAAATATTATTTATGTAATTAGTCAAACTCAGAAATAAACCAGAGCTTCTCACTATAGTAACAACCATATTCCTTTTTTGTATAGAGCTCAAATTTGCAATATATGTTTTTTGTAATAGCTATACCATGCTGTTAGACACTTTACCTCGTGTTTGGTAAGCATGCTAAGGTTTCCCAAGCACTGTCTAAGTCATTTTATAAAAACTTTTGTTGGATAGATAAGGATTCTGAGGATCTCAAGTGACTCAATCAAGTTCACCATCAGTGACTGAGTCAGAGGTCACATTTGATCTTCAAACATCATTCTCTTCATTCTTTCTTTTACATTACATTGATTCCCTGTCTAGTGCTTGGATTTTACTAGGGATGTAACTGGAGGGACATCATGTTAAGCAAAATAAGCCAAACATAGAAAGACAAGTATCATGTTTTCTGTCAATGAGGAAACTAAACAAACAAGAAGATGATCTAAATATAGGAGAGGGACTATGAGGGACTGGGAAGGGGGTTGTGGGGAAAAGGAAGGATAGACACAATAAAGCAGAATATATGCATGTATGGAAATATCCCATTAACTTAAACAATTAATATGGTTAATTATAATAATAAAAAGGAGTGTCAGGTATTTCAGGGAAGACTGAATGCCAAGGAGATACAAACAGGACACAGACACTCATGGTTTTATATTTTCCATGGTGTTCTTGGTGGTAGCAGGACTTCATTTAAATAGTTAATGGTTGGGGTGGACCCTTTGTTCCATCTGTGAATCATTGGTTGTTACCCTATATACTCTATTTGTTCAGTCTCCTGTGTCTACTCAAAGCTTCCTTCATTTGCTATAAAATCCTTTTAGATCCTTCCAATTTTGAAAATTCTCCAATTCTTGCAATTCATTGAAGATCAGGACCACCTCCTTCAGAAAACCTAGCTAATACCTATCCTCTGATGGTGGAAGCTGATTGAGGGTCAAGCCAAGCTGGGGGATCTCATGTGGCCTGAAGAAGGGAGTAGGTAACAAACCCCTCTCCCTTGGTTAGGATGTATGGAGTCAAAGGACAGAGACAAAAGTTGTATCCCAGAGTCATTCCAAATGATGAACTCCAGATGGGAAGGGACTCATCACTCATCACTATATTCCTCAGAGCCCACCCAGCACAGAAAAAAATATGAATGAATGGAAGACAGAATAAACAAAGGGAACAAGTTAGGAAGTCAAACTAGGCAGTTGAAGCTGGATTACAGAAATCACGGAGGGGTCAACAAGAGCCCTTGGATGAATTCTGAGGATGGACATCAAAGCCAATAAGGTAAATAGGCTCCAGAGATGGCTAAGTCAGTGAGAGAGCCTTTTCAGATTCAGTGAAATTGCCTTTAATCTCAACTCACTTCAAGTGCAGCTACTAATTTCTATGGGCAGCATCTCTCAGTCCCCTCCAGCTTTGAGCTCCTACTTCCTTAGAATTAAGATTTGTGTGTTACTTCAGCATCTCAGAAGTGGTACCCACGTTCTCTAGCTCAGAACACAGAAGACAAGAATAACTTCTCCCTGAGAATTGCTCATGCAAGTTGTTTGTGTGGTTAGCACAATTTGCTGACGATAACAAGGTGATGATATGCCCTCTTTCCGTGCAAACATCCAATTTCCCTCCCTTGTATTACGTGAGCAATTTGACTTTTCTGAAACCTGTCCAACAACTGGCCTTGTTTTGCCTCTTTAAAGATGCTTTACTGTCTTTTCAAACAAAGCAGCCATCTATTCTACTTGGCACATTTACTTTCTAATGTCTCATCTCTGTGCCTTTACAGTTGCTTCTTCCTGGAATATTCTTTTCCAGAATAGAATATTTGGCAAAGGTTCAGAAATTTGTCTTTCTCTTTATCTCACATCATTCTCCATGAGTAGAAGGGAATAGTGTCAAGATTTATTCCCCTGCTAACATCAATTATGGCATCACAACTATCCTTGTCCCTGAAGTGGCCATAGTTGGTTTTAAAATCACACTCATTTTTGTATTGCTCAGACTTCTAGAAAGTGCTTTCCTAGGTTGGGTAAGTCATATAAATTGGCCAGAAGAGGTGGCACCCACCCCTTTCCTTTCTTCCTAGCCTTCCACCCTTCCTATCTTGGAACATTCCCCCTTCCCTGTGATGCAAGACAAATTTATCTGGACTGCTCCTGTGGGATTGTATTATGGATGTTTATTTACAAATATTATCATCTTTATTGAAATGTAAACTTTGCAAAGGTCAGATCATTTCCTTTTCCAAAATTCTAGTCTAGCCCACTGTCTAAGACACAATACACTTTGGAAACATCTGATTTATATCTATGGATAAATGAATGAATGTGAAGCTGTGGATGGTCCCTTGGTGATCTGGAGAGACTGCTGGTGGGGAGGGAGGACAATATAATATTCCCTCCTCACTTCTATTGATGGTCAGATGCTGCTAGAACTAATAAGCAGTTATTTATTTATTGAAAACCTACTATGTGCAAGGAACAAGGGAAGCTCCAAGACAGATCTTTTTATCATACCTCTTTCCTATCTCTAGATTCCCCCCCACACACATACACACACCCCTTCCAAGCCACTTCTTTCTGTTCGCTTTTGTGGAAAGCCTGGGACAGAGAGGTAGGAAAGTGGAAATACTCAGGGCTGTCACATCTACATCTGGGGTTCTGCACTGCCAGTTCACATTTTCTGAATGAGTTATTTCTATGTACCTTCACAGCAGCCAGCACCACAGTGCCTTGCATACATTATATGCTCAATGGGTACTTGTCAACTGATTTTATACAAGCATCTGACAGTATAAATACATTATGAAAAATGAGGAGGCTGGGCACTAAAAGAGTCAGGATTTTTTTTTTTTTCAAAAAATACACAGCAGTGGAATTAGGCTTAAAGTTCAAATGCTCTTGCACCCTGCCCTGTTGTATCTCTAACCAGAACAAACGGATAAGGTGGTTGAAGGGTGATTCAACCTTTGCCCTCTCTCTGCAATTGAAAGCATTCACAGCTTTGAGGTGGCTCCCACTGGCTGACTTGCTGTGGAGTTGTCAAGAGCATAGAGTTATTCTTTACACATCAAAAGAAGATGCTGTTTAATTTGAGGATCCTGTTCAACAATGCATCTCTTAGAAATGGTCACAATTTTGTGGTACGAAATTTTCGGTAAGTGACAGAGATTTGGGTCTGATTTAGGAACCATAGTGATAAATGAAATTGCATTCTGCAGAGGAGTGCAGTTGCAAAAGATCTCTTTCTGCAGAGTGTAACAGCACGGTCTAGCTTATGTGATGCAGCTGTCTCTAATTCCAGTGAAGCTTTCATTTCTCAGACTTTCTGTAATCAGATTTCATTGTGCACCGGGTTGGGAGAAGCTACCGGCAGCAGGTATAACAGACTAAATATTCTTGACATCTTCCATTTGTGTACATTTTAAACAAGCAACTGGCTGAAGGAAATGAGAGGAACTAATTTACGCAGGGCCTTCAACTTGTATTTGGGTTTTCTGGAAAATAATATATCACTCTAGGGTGTTGGGACTAATCAGTTCCTTTTAAAAACAGACTACAAATAGCAACCCGGAAAATATTTACAAAGCTACAGTAAAGGACCCTTATATGTAATGAGGATAACTGGTTTTTTGTTGTTTATAAAATCCAAATTTGAAATTCATCTCTGAAATTGTTGGTGGCATGTGCAAAGGAGGTTGCCTACAATGAATTCATGATAAAAGCTTACATCCTGCTTGCAGCCATTGAGCATGTGGTTGAAGGTGACATGGAGGGTGGCAGTGGGGAAGAGGGAAGAGAGAGCAGGAAAATGTGTTAGCTGGGTAAGCAAGGCCATGAAGTACAGACACGAGTGCCAGGAAGCTTCTAGAGTATAATTGCCTGTTGACAATCAGAATTTCCTCAGAGCCTCTTTACTCTCTAAACCAACCTCAAAAGAACCTCTCTGACTTCCTAAAGGAAGAAGGTTCTGGTGTGAAGTTTTCTCCTACTATTAGGAAGTGGACCTAATCTGACAGTGGCCCTGGGCCTCACTTCTCTGGATCATCTGACAGCTCTAGGTTCTCTGTACTCTGCTGTTAGCTCTCCTTCTCCTCCTCCTCCTCCTCCTCCTCCTCCTCCCCCTCCCCCCCTTCCCCCTCCCCCTCCCCCTCCTCCTCCCCCTCCTCCTCCTCCTCTCCTCAGCCTTATTTTTCTTTTTGGTACTGGGGATTGAACCCAGGGGCACTTTGCTACTTAGCTACACCCCCAGCCCCTTCTAATTATTTAATTTTGAGAAAGGTCTCTCTAAGTTGCTTAGGGTCTTGCTACATTTCTGAGGCTGACCTTGACTTGGCATCCTCCTGCCCCATCCTCCCAAATTGCTGGGATTACAGGCATCTGCTACTAGCCTGGCTAGCACCACTTCTTTGGTGAATGCAAGGCTCTTGGAAGTCAAAATGGCATAGTGACTGATGATGTAAATTAAGCCCATAGTATTAGACTTAGGTGAGACTTCATAGCTATGAAATAATGCCTTCTCTTATTTTATAGAGAAGATCAATGAAACCCACAGAGATTATGGGGTTTACCAACTAATGATAGAGTTAGGCCATATAATCCAAGAATCTGGAGAAAAACTCGGATTTAAGAGCCTAAAGAACTAAGTTCTGGGGCGGGAACTAACTAGCTATATGACCTTAAATAAGTCATTAAACTAATCTGTAATGTTGCTTCCCCTACAAAATGGGAAAAGGATAATACTTGGCTCTGCCTACATTACAAGGTAGTTCAATCATTAAGCCTACAAACATTAATTGAGCACCATTTCATGCCATGCCCTATGGAAGATGTTGGATATATAGTAGTAAATAAGGTAATAAGTTATTTCATGCCAGGGCTGGGATTGTAGCTCAGTGGTAGAGCGCCTGCCTTGCATGTGTGAGGCATTGGGTTTGATTCTCAACACCATACAAAAATAAATAAACAAAATAAAGTAATTGTGTCCATCTACAACTAAAAGAATACATTAAAAAAGATACTTCATTCCAGCCACATGAAGTCACAATCTAGTGATAATCAATGAGACAGTGTGTGAGACCTATAAAGTAACAGATCAATGTCCATTGTTCCTTTATTATCTTATTCCAGTGAGTTATATCAGATAAAAATGTGATGGAATTTTATTCCATATTTTAAAAAAAAATTTTAAACAATGTTTAGTTGTTGATGAACCTTTATTTATTTTATTTATTTTTATGTGGTGCTGAGGATCGAACCCAGTGCCTCACACATGTTAGGGAAGTGCTCTACCACTGAGCTACAACCCCAGCCCTTATTCCATAGTTTTTAACAAAGAAAAAAATTATTGAGATGAAAATACTCTAATGAATGGATAACCAAAACTTGATACTTGTACTCTTCTTGGAAAATTACAGTTGTTTGATTTTTTTAAACTATCCTTGCAGATTAAATTTGGCAGGTAGAACTTCTTCCAAATAACTGGGCCTTTTTTGGATATGCACTAATATTCTCTTCTCTATATCCAATTAGCTAGACTACATTTCTGAAAATCCTGGCTAGCTGTCTTTCACAGTGAAGGAGACAAGGGCAAAATATGGCTAAAGCAAGCCAAATCTATACTTGCTGTTTGAAAATAAGAAAGCCTCAAGCCACCTAGGTTGTGAGAAATCCAATAGTGTGTCTCTATTGAAAAAATAAGTTATCCTTGAAATGGTTTCAATACGGTGTTCTCATGTGGCATAGGTATTTTTCTTTCCTACTATTTTGTTTAGCCATACTACCTGCCAGCTAGATGAATTCAGAATTGCTGATCTTTAATAAGACCTACAACCTTTCATAAAAAAAAAAAAAACTCCCCTCAATGAAGAGAAAAGCTCCTGGGCAACTTTGTGTTATATTTCTATTTTGATTTTCAGCCTTCCACCAAGATTTGGGTTCTTTGTGTTTTTTTCCCATCTCTTGGAGAAAGTGGAAGATCCTTGTTATGCAACATACCATGTGAGTTTACCACTAGAGAGTAATGGGAAATAGGTGGTTAGGGTTTGGCAGTGCCACAAAAAAAGAATTGCACAGTTTTGAAGTGAGGAGCCATTTTGCCATGGACAAGATAAAATAACAGCTGAATTGAGGCTGAAACCATCTACACAGGCCCCTGGATCAATCATTTTTAGTCAATTAATTTTTCTTTTTTACAAAATCAATAAGATCAGACACCAAGACTGCTGAAAACATCCAATCCACAGGCTTTCCATCTCACAAACAAGGCTCTGGAGCCTGGCTGTGTTTGGATAATAGTGTCCTATGATTTGTTGCCTATTAGGGAAACCACTTAGAGCTTTTAAAGAAACCACTAAAAATCTCTTTCTTTATCAGAGAAGACCAATTTGTAAGCGCAGTTCAATTTCATCTCACAAATAGAAATTTCTTCAAAGAATATTGAGCTAAGCCACCAATTCTGTAGAGGTTATGGATTGTAGCTGGAGGTGACTGGTTTTCAGCTATTTCATTCCAGACCTCTATAAGGACTCACATAACTCATTATGTTCCCTTCATCCCACACACATGCCCATCTGTACACACATGGACACACAGATGAAGCAATTACAGACCTTCCATGCTCTTGTATAGAGGAGAGAAAACAGTGCTCTTTGATTATTCACATTTTATGTCAAAACTAAAATGAATGCCTTTTGAAAAAAAACATGCATCTTAACTTGACTTCAGAAAACCATGTAAGACATGATACTAGGACCAGAATAGAGACATGATGTTTCCTTTGGCCAACAGCAGAATTGTTTCCTAGTTTGTTGTTTTTAGCAATTTAACTAAGAAAAGAAGCCATTTATTTTTAAGCAGGTTCAGGTTTCCAGCCCTTTCATAATAAATCTACCTAAAGTAAGCCCTCATCTGATCTTCAAGTCTCAGAGAATTTCCACAAACTTAGAATATTAACAATCAAAGATATTTTAGAAACACCCTTTCACTCAGTTATTAATAATAATTTACACTTCAGATGGACATACTCTTTCCATGAGTAGGGAAGATTTCAAGTGAATTCTGCTTAAAAATGATTATAGCTGCTAAAAATAAAATTAATAATTTTAGAAAACATTTGTATCTTTTTATATATACATATATCCACGGAATCATTTCAAAAGTATTGTGAAAATAAAGTTGCTTTCCCTTGCTTACTTTCTAATATACCTTTTTGAGAATGAGAGAAAGGGATGAGATTAAAGAGAACTGAGAATTGAGAAATATTGTGTTTATAAACATCATGAGTATTGTGGAAGACAAAGACATGGAGAAGCACTAATTTAGTTCATTTTCTCAGTTTTTTCAAATGGGCAATTGAGACCAGAGATGGCTGATGACCTTCCCAAGGTCATAGTTTATTCCTGCAACTGGGCCATAGTAGGTCATACTCAACTATTTAAAGCCACAGTTCTTTTCAATATGCTAACTTTGGTCCCTCCAAATTGATCAGGTTGGCCAGTCTACCCTTGCCCCTCCTTTTTTAGGTATGACCGGAATAACTCAAAAAAGTAAAAAAAAACAAGAAAATATGCCTTAACTCTTGCATTAATGAAAGGTTAAGAAAATATCAATTTCAGCCTTCAGGCCTTTTGGCCCTCACTTATGACTCCAGAAGCTAAAGTCTTTATCTCAGATTCTCAGGGGAGTTCAGAATATCATTTGACACTGAAGTTTTTTTCTATTCTGGCAAAGTCAGTTTCTGACTGACCATATTTTACTCAAATCAAGCACTTTCTTTTCCAACAAAATACAGTTATACCAGAGAACCCCTCCAAGTCTCTCCCATCCCCCAATTTACCAGATTTGGAAAATGCAGACTGTAGCAATGAAAGGCTTCATTTTGCCAGTAGAAAATTCTCTTCCATTTTCTAACTAGGAAGATATTTGGGTAAAGTTAATTCAAGAATCTATTATTACCTTGGCTTAGCTTCTTAGCATTCAGTGATTTGAGGTTAAGAAATTTCTGTAGTTACTTTTTCAAGGGGTAAAATTAATATAAAGAATGAGTCGTGCCTTTTTTTTTCAAAGGCTCTGGCTCTAACCAGGCTGCAAATGACATTTAAAAAAATCTTTATTTTATTTTGTATTTTGATTGACACATAATATTAGTACACATTT